CGGTTGTACGGTTGTACGGTTGTACGGTTGTACGGTTGTACGGTTGTACGGTTGTACGGTTGTACGGTTGTACGGTTGTACGGTTGTACGGTTGTACGGTTGTACGGTTGTACGGTTGTACGGTTGTACGGTTGTACGGTTGTACGGATGTACGGTTGTACGGTTGTACGATTGTACGGTTGTACGGTTGTACGGTTGTACGGTTGTACGGTTGTACGGTTGTACGGTTGTACGGTTGTACGGTTGTACGGTTGTACGGTTGTACGGTTGTACGGTTGTACGGTTGTACGGTTGTACGGTTGTACGGTTGTACGGTTGTACGGTTGTACGGTTGTACGGTTGTACGGTTGTACGGTTGTACGGTTGTACGGTTGTACGGTTGTACGGTTGTACGGTTGTACGGTTGTACGGTTGTACGGTTGTACGGTTGTACGGTTGTACGGTTGTACGGTTGTACGGTTGTACGGTTGTACGGTTGTACGGTTGTACGGTTGTACGGTTGTACGGTTGTACGGTTGTACGGTTGTACGGTTGTACGGTTGTACGGTTGTACGGTTGTACGGTTGTACGGTTGTACGGTTGTACGGTTGTACGGTTGTACGTTTGTACGGTTGTACGGTTGTACGGTTGTACGGTTGTACGGTTGTACGGTTGTACGGTTGTACGGTTGTATGGTTGTATGGTTGTATTTATATGGAAATATCAATAATAACAAAAAGAAATTCAAATTTCTTAAAATTAATGAACATTTTGTTTAAAATGACTTCCCAACCTTCATCAATGGTACATTCCATTTACAAATAGTTGCAATGTATTTGTTACAATATCACTATTTATTATAAATTGATTTTCAAAACAAACACCTTCTTCCACATTATCCCCTACTCGAAAATAGCTTTAAAAATAATATTTAAAATGTACGCTCGGTTTAGATAACTGTGATTGAACATGAGTCCTAAAATTTCCATCTGAAACATTTTATCTAAAACATAATTTTTATTTTCTTTTTTTAATAAATATTCCAAGTAAAGCATTTACGATAATTACAATCTGATCATTAAGATCCATTAGCAATTTTATTCTTACCTAACTTATCTAGGGATGAAAAACTTCATAAACTAAGATTCTACTCACTCACTTAGAGTATAATTATTTTGTTACACTACCGTTAACGTATTACACTAAATCGCACTATACTGTGCTTTTATCTTACATCACTGAACTTACTCAAAATTCTTGGTTCTTTTGAGTCTTCTTATTAGAATGACATTGTTTAGGAACTGGATAACCTCAACCTTCCCATGTTTGAGCAGTCGTTGTTGGTGAATACTGGCAAATTAATCTATTGTATTTTCAGCAATCTCCACTTTAAGGTCTCTATGAAGATCAGTTTTATCAGCAAGCTTGAAGCTTGGAGAGACCTGCTTAACACTAATTTTCGGTCACGTGACGTACAATATTTTTTTTAAGATCGATACTTTGATGTAAACTCTAGTATTTATTTTAATTTAATAGAGTAATTAACAAATTCTAAAAACTAGATAATGGATACATTTGCGAAATCAAGTTTGACATAAACAACAAATTAAAAATCAACGGACTGTCACTTGGCAATAAATCGGACCGTTGTTACCATAGTAACGAAATCAAGCAATCAAACAGCGATAGGACAAATTAAAAACAGAGACCGGTAAAAGCTTTTACCGGTCACTAACGTCTACTTTCCGGTCTTGATCGGAAAAATGTTATTTTCTGGACAAAAAATTGTTTCAGAAAGTGTATATTTTCTTGTTGGACCTAAAAAAAGCACATGTTAACGAATATAATTTGATCGAAATACAACTGTACGAACTTACAAGCGATCGAACATTTTTTATCGAATTTTTTTCTTGAGGTTAGTATATTTAAGTAACTAATTATTAACTGTTTTAAAATTGGAAATATTTATTTTCAAACTACTATATACATACAGACGGACATGAACTAAGACGGTAAAATACCTCATGGCAAATCACAGGGGGTGCTCTAATCCCACATGTTGAGATTCCTTAACATTTTGTTCAGTGTTTTATTTGTTTTGTGTCAAGCCGTCTCTGGACGGACGAATGAATGGTCAGTCTGTAAGGAACGAGGATGCTGACGTTAGTTTTCATCTTCATTTCGCTTTCAAACGGCCGAAGTACTTTTCTAATCATCGAGCTCCTCACTCGATTTAAAAATCCCAGGTCATCTTGCAAATCATACCGGCATTTTCATTTGTAACACAAAGTATTTTAAATTAGAGGGCTATGTAATTAGTTTTCTAACGAGAATTAAAAATAGATAGTGAAGAAGTTACCGCGTCTATGTGTTGTAAATTTTGTGAAATTTCGTCAACAAAGTAACAGGTGATTTTAAAAATCAACCATACTTTCTAACAGATAATTTGTATCGAAAGATTCATCTCCTAATTACAGTCCACATCAGAAAAATCGATCTAATATAGCAATGGGTCATTCATACATTCAGATCCACATGTCAGACTCACACACCACACATGAATTCAGATGGATAAATTTAAATGTAATATATGTATATTAAAGAAAATAAATATATTTTCCTAGTATTCTAACCAAAACAAAAAACAAACTAATTTACCTATAACCTGCCTGTCTGCCTGCCTGCCTGGCATGAAGTCATCACCGGTTGCTTCGCAAAAAATATACATAAATTAAGAAAAATAAAGAAAACTTAACAACCGTTAAATTCCATAAATTTTACCCTTATAAGGTTAGTTCAGGAGTTAAACGGCTTCAACTTTGCGAAGAATTTAGTGTACTATTAAATAACAACCCACATCGATTGTAAATTTTTTTCTGTCAAGCATACCTTCATGTTAAATAGTGTCGTAAATAGACATAATTATCGTTATTGGAGTAAGACTTATTTATTCTTGGAGACACATATACAGACGCCTCAAAAAATAAATGTTTGGTTGGCATTCTGTATCTGTATCTGTAACGTGGGGGAGGGTGGGTTACCCCCACGGCACTTAGGCCTCATTAGGCCCATTGTGCATCCTCCTAAAATGATAGGCACCTCCTACCTCGTGAGCCAGCCTATAGATTTAATGTAGTTGACAACGTCGCCAAGAGGTGCTTCTCTTATATCGGCCAGTGATAGCCGATACTAGCCGAACACAAATCTTCTAATAAATGAGAGCGACGAGCAATCTTAAAGCATATGCTCGATGGTCTCATCTTCTTGTTCGCACCCTCTGCAGAGTCCGGATTTTGACATCCCCATGATATGGAGATACCTTCGTACTTGGCAATGACCAGTCAGAATGCCTGTAACTAGGCGCAGATTCTGTCTAGTCATAGTCAAGTATTTGTTGCTGCAGTGTTGTCAGGATAACTTAAGAGCTCCCTGGCAACTTTGCAGTTTCTTGTTTCATCCCATCTTTCCTTGAATTTCACAAGGGAATATTCTTTGATTAGGTCTGTCACTACCGATTTTGTCGTTTTACCAACGTTGGATTGAAGGCAGGGGTCGAATGGAATGGCCAAAAAGATCACCTAATCTCTCTCCAATGAATTTATTTTTGTGGGGCCGCCTAAAATCAAATATATACGCCACTCTGTCTGTATATCTTGCAGAGCTGCGACAGACAATTGGTACCGAATCCATTTTACTGGGGCTGCCACCTTTTTGAAAAATAAGTAAAGGACTACGATGATGACAGGGGCTACGGTATACAAAAAGTCCTTATCCTGCTACTAAACTTCTAAAAAAAAGGTCGCCGAGCTTGTAACAAAAAAATTCTCCTCGTCAGTCTACCGAGCTAAAAAAAAGGTCCTCAGCTTATAGATTTTTGTACAAACCATGTCCTTTTTAAAAATATGTGCTGTAAAAAAAGGCATTCACGTAAAAAAAGTCATTCGCCGTTAAAAAAGTAATTTGCCGGAAAAAAGGACATTTTAAGCTTTAAAAAGTCACAAGGACATTTTGCTACAAAAAATGACTGTCCTTTCCAAAAAAGGACAAGTGGCAACCCTACATATTACTGACAACGGACGAGTTTGCAAATGTAAGAAAAACCTTTGAAAGTAGATTGTATCTGTATATGAATATTAAGATTGTTAAGAATTCTGATTTTTTATATATATATATATATATATATATATATATATATATATATATATATATATATATATATATATATAGGGTTGTATAGAAAAAAAATGCCTTTCAAATGAAATGTTATATTGCATTTTAAAAATAAATAGGGAATTGCTGACGTGCTCCAGGTGGTTGAATTTCTGAATATAAATTTTATGACAAATCGCCCCTTGCCAATAAAAGTTGACGTGTTTATTTAAATTTTTAGAAACTCCTTTGTTTCCCAGTTTCTGGAAGGGGGTCAAGTTATTGTACATACAGGGTGTTAAAAAAAAAGTGTCACAAAATAAAACGGGGGGTTGTATGGGCCAAAATATGCAGAAAAGTCTTAATAAACATATGTCCGCAAATGAATGGTTTCAGAGATACGGAGTGTTTTGTGTTTTGTATCATTTTTTGATTATCTTTTTTCATTCTCAAAAACTTGCTTTTCTTATCGGAGTCTACCGATGTTTTTTCATAGATACTATTTGCAGTTATTATTTTGTTGTGGGTGAATAATTTTATAAATTTTCGTTATGCCTGTTTACACTAACATTGAATTAGCTGACATGCATTTTATGTACGGTCGTGCAAATGGCAATGCATTGAAATGGAGGGAGGGCACTTTGAACATCTCATTTAACTCTATGTTGTTACTGATTGTTTATAAATATCATTGTTTGTTTATAATAATAAAAAATTGTTATAAACACAAAATGGTCCGTATCTCCGAAACCGTCAATTTTCGGTCATATATTTATTAAGACTTTTCTGCTTATTTTGGGTCATACTATTCACCATTTCATTTTGTGACCTTTTTTTAAACACCCTGTATATATCATATTTTTAAATTTCAGAAAGTAAAATAGATTATTCTGACTTGTTTCAACCGAGAAGTTTAGGAATCTCCTCCGACGATCCAAAGACAACGCCGGCTGCCACCATTATGCAATTTTTGCTGCTGTATAAACGAAATCTGTTGACCACAAAGCGATGTTACGTAAGATAATTAATATTATTATTCTAAGCAATCTGTTATGAAATGTTTCATTGTCAAGGGCATCTTTTATATTTATCATTACCGTATTGTTTTTAATCTATGTTTTATATATGACTCATCTGTTTTGAAGATATTAGGAATACGACTTTAAATAATGTAAATGCGTAATTTTTTCATGATACGGAGTTTCTTTCTCAAAGACTACATTTAAAAGCCGAGGAGGTACCCACTGACATTCGAAGTTAATATTTCTTTTTAAGTTCATACACCATAGCAATGACCAACGTTTATGCAACATTTTAATATGTTCGACGATCCATTACAGTTTTTTAATAATTTTAATAATTTAAAGAACGTAAATGATCGAAAAACACTTTTGAATTAAAACTTTAAAGATCCAAAGAGGTTTGTATCGCAATTTAACCTCCCCTAAAATAATTTTAAAGATCCTAGAGAGATGAAAATTCGAAAAGTGAAACTATTTTCAAATTTAATTTTCACTTACAAAAAACAGTTGAAAATTTATTAAAAATGAAACTCTATAAGGAGACGAAGTCTATTGATTTTGAAAAAATCTGAATTAAAATGGGGTGTTTAGGGGATGGAAATTACGAATTATTAAGACCATTCCCGGACCCCAAATGAGACTTGTAGATTTAAAAAGTGGATTTTTAAGATTTGTGTCCGAATTTTCACATTATTTAAAAACTTATTTCAGATAATTCTGACCTTTCGGATTTCGATTTGCGATCTACGATATTATATTCACAATTTCTATACTCAGTTTTACGTCCTTAACGTGCATTGAAAACTTACTTGATAGCTTTACGGTAAGGGCACACGTCCGTAAAAAGTGTAGGTCTGGGTTCGACTTCTGACGATGACAGGTTTTTTCAAATCTACAAGTATTTGTTTTTCCATTTGGGGTCCGGGAATGATCTTAATAATTCATAGGGGATTTTTGAGATTTATTTCCGAATTTTAAAATGATTTAAAAATTTATTTCAGATAATTCTGACCTTTCGGATTTAGATTTGCGATCTACGATATATTAAATTTACAACTTTCACCGAAATATTTAGTAAAAATCAGGCCGGGCCGAGTTGGCACCCACAAAGTTTTTGATGATAAATTATAGTTTGAGTTGACACCGGGGATGGTGTTGAATTGACACACATTGTTAATCCTAAGCCCAAGCGAGTTTCAAGAAGAAAAAACACATTTTATATAATAGTTTGTGCAACAACAATTGATATGAATAATCCAAGCTAAGGTAAAACTAAAAAGTTAGGTGTCAACTCGTCTTTGCCAAAAAATCAAGCTCTATGGAGGAATGCATAAATAAAAAAAAATGGGGAAATAAGGGTAATGAAATATTGAAAAAAATCTTAACTCAGAAACAGAGAACGATATCAAATTAAAATCTTCTGGAAAAATCAAGCTTTATAAGGTGATGAAGCCTATTGATTATAAAAAAAAATGGATATTGAGGGGTTCTGTTAAACTGTTGAGAGTATAATATAGAATTCCAAGCATTATATATATCTTTATTCCAGTTTGTTAATATAATTAAACTGATAAATATGTATATCATGGGCTCTTTATAATGTCCTCGCAATGATTAATCATTTTATTTTCAAGACTCCCACTTTAGGTTTTTAGAATTATTTTGGGGGGTGGTTTAATTATTATTGTATCTTCATGGCAATTGACCATAAGGGAGTGGTCAAACGTAGAAACATAATTCTAAACAATTTTGGATCTTTATTGACGAATTTCCTGCAATTTAATATCTTGGATAACTTGGTCTATAATAAATAGTATCAGATGTGAAAATCTCTGTTTTGGAAAAATATATTCATCACAGAGTCATCAGTTCAATGGCGTAGCCAAGGGGGGAGATTTTTCGACTCCGATGATGTACATGTCAAGTACCGGCGCTGATTGCTATTAGCCAATTTTTGTATCGTCTTATAAATAAAAATATTGACTTATTAATAAAAACAATCGTATCTGAAATATTCCACTTTATTGATGGACTGTCATTATTATTATTAAAATCAAGCAAATCTATTTTTAATTTTTAGAATCCTGCCCTTAACAGAATTTTAGCGCACGTTATTATTGGATTTATATTTGGATATTTGTACCGAGATGTTGGAAAAGGTGCGAGTACAATATTAGCAAATTACGTATATCTCTATGGCACCCTTTTACTCACCGTTTATACTGGAGAAATGCCAGTTACTTTATCATGTAAGTATTTATTATCATGTAATAATTTTTAATGTTGTACAAAATTCAGAATATTTTGATCTTCGCCAGTTTGCCTTGATGTCTTTTTCCATTATATAATTTAAAATGCCAGTCGGAAATCGTCCATCTTGTCTACTGTAGTAGTAAACTCCAGATAATATCTTGTGGTTTGGCATGCGCTATCCAGGAAAAGTCAGTGTATTTCTTGCTGGTGAGTCATAATAAGGACGAAACCGGTCTAAGAATGACGTTCTCCTTAGTAATAAAGGAGTATTGAAATTTATTTTCTGCGCTATTTTCCTTTTGATATAATGCAATGCTTGTTGCAGTTTTGGCAAATGGGGTAGTTGTTTTCAGGAGGGAAACATTCTGTTTTTGTGACACGGTCTTTAATATTTTCTCTTTTTTCTTTATTTTTATTATTAAAGATATATTTATTTAGGAATAATTTTAAAATTCGAAAATAAATCTCAAAAATCCCTTTATTAATATTAAGGCCATCACCAGACCCCAAAGGTGAAAATAAATCCTTGGAGATTTGAAGAAGAGCCAGTCGTAGCCGGGATTCGAACCCAGGCATCTTTGTTCTTTAGACTAATGCCTTTACCGCTAGACCATAACGGCATTAACTGTCGAGATTCCTAGACAGAAATTTGATGTGCTAGTTTGTGCCAGACGTCGTTTCAGGCTCGTTCTCAAATCTTCAAATACCTCTCATTTAATTTCGATTTATTAAATTCACAATTTTCATACTCAGGTTTTCGTCGCTTAACATACATTAAAAACTTACTCACGCAGACGAAGATATGGGCTTAGTATGCATCAATGCATTTCTCATATATACCGATGCTGTAGAGAGGTATTTAAAGATTTGGGAATGAACCTAAAACGGGGCGGCATCTGGCCTGAACTAGCACATACAATTTCTGTCTCGGAGTTTCGACAGTCAATGTCAACAAAGAAAAATATCATAGATCGTGTCACAGAAACATCGAGCTAACAGGCATTGCATAATATAAAAAAAAACAGTACAGAAACTAATTTTTATTACTAAGGAGAACGTCATTCTTAGACCCGTTCCGTCCTTATTAGGACTCATCAGCAAGAAATAGACGGACTTTTTACATTTCAATTGCGATTTACGATTAAAATAATTTTACAATTTCTCATTTATTTTAGAATAATAATTTATAATTTTATTTGACGCTCTTCTGAAACTTTTCTGAATATAATATAAAATACTTAAAAATAATAAAAAGGGAGTCAAAACGGCACTTATAAATCAATCAAAAAAGAAATATATTTGAACAAATATATTTAAGTGATTATGATTTAACTTTGTATTACCCTCTGAGGTATATCCCCAAAAAATGGAGAGAGGTAAAAGTGGTATTTATATCCAAACCTGGAAGGATGTATTACACTGTCCCAAAAACTTACTGACAAATTAGTCTGAAATTGTTTTCCATGAAGACATTAGAAAGGCTATGCGAAAGGTACATAAGGGATGCGATGATTAAAACAACACCACTACACCCAAACCAACATGCATAGGTACACCCCAGGCAGATCTACTGATTTAGCCCTTCATCTAGTTGCTGGCCGGATAGAAAGGTCCCTGTGGATAATAAGGAGTCCGCCTTGGGTGTTTTCATAGACGTAGAAGGTGCTTTTAATAAAACCACCTTCCCAAAGATAATACACTCACTAACCAACAGAAATGTTTCACAAATGGTTAGTGGGTAGATACATAACATGCTCTCAAAGCGAGCAGTAAACATAAGTGTAGAAGATGTGAATATAAGAGGCTTGGTTGCAAGGGGATGTCCACAGGGAGGGGTGCTATCACCTCTACTGTGGAATATGGTCCTTGACACCCTCATCAGCCGCCTCAATAATGACAGTCACTACACAATAGCATATGCAGATGACCTGGTCATTCTGCAAACAGGAAATTTTGAGAACATACTCTGCGAAAGAATGCAAGTAGCTCTAATAATTATAGAACAGTGATGCAAGGACCATTCACTGTTTATCAATCCTAAGAAGACAGAAATGCTCCTTTTCACAAGAAAAAGTGTGAAAGTGAAATTAAAACTTCCAGAACTCCTAAACACAAAACTAAACTTTGCAACAGAGGTGAAGTACCTAGGTCTCGCCTTTGACAGTAAGTTAACATGGAACTCGCATTTAGAAAACAGAGTTAAAAGAGCATAAATTGCTTATGAATAATGCCGCCGAACCTTGGGGCGCACCTGGGAATTCTCTTCCAGAGTTGTCGCATGAACTTACACGGCTATCATAAGACCTATGCTAACATACGGTACAGTTGTCTGGGTACCGAAAACCCAAAAATTAACAGCTATCCGTAAACTAGAAAAAATTCAAAGAACAGCATGTCTCAACATAACAGGAGCAATGACCAGATTCATGGAAGTCATTCTTAGTCTCACTACCCTTGATATTTACATCAAGGAGGTTGCTCTAACAATAATGACACGCTTCCGCACGGTTGAAATAGAACCTAATGTAGGATCTTGGGAGGCGAGACGACGCTTTTGGCAGGAGGCGCTCAATACGCTCCCACTGCTTCAAGCGAACATGGACTCAATCTCACCGAGATATATCTTCCATAAGCCATATTAAGTTATAATAGAACAAAAAGAAGAGCCAGATTCATGTCTACACCGACGGTTTTAAAACAAAACAAGGCTTAGAATGTGGAATATTCTCCAGATTCTTAAACCTAAACACAAAATGGGCTGTGAGCAATAGTGCCAATGTAGTTCAAACAGAGCTAACGGGGATTCTCAAAACAGCAAAAGAAATAACCAGAAACAATATCACTGGAAGGAACATACTCATCTATACAGATAGCAGGCAAGCACTACTCAACCTGAACAGACCACGAATTTTCTCAGGGTTAGTACTAGAATGTCATGAGGCTTTGACCGAAGTATCCATCAACAATGTATACACCTTAAGATAGAACAAAGGTCACGCTACATCGAAAGGTAGCCATCTTGCTGATTCATTAGCCAAGAAAGCAGCCAACCAAATACTTTTTGGACCTGGCCTTTCTATTGTCCTGATAAAATCGGTAGTGACTAACCTAATTAAAGAATATTCCCTTGTGAAATTCAAGGAAAGATGGGATGAAACAAGAAACTGCAGAGTTGTCAGGGAGCTCTTAAGTTATCCTGACAACACTGCAGCAAACAAATACTTGACTATGACTAGACAGAATCTGCGTCTGGTCACAGGCATTCTGACTGGTCATTGCCAAGTACGAAAGCATTTCCATATCATGGGGCTGTCAGAATCCGCACTCTGCAGAGGGTGCGAACAAGAAGATGAGACCATCGAGCATATCCTTTACGATTGCTTGACGATCTCATTTATTAGAAGATTTGTGTTCGGCGAGTATCGGCTAACACCGGCCGATATAGGAGAAGCACCTCTTGGCGACGTTGTCAACTACAATAAATCTGTAAGCTGGCTCACGAGCTAGGAGGTGTATATCATCTTAGGAGGATGCAAAATTGGCCTAATGAGGCCTACGTGCCGTGGGAATAACCCACCCCCCACACGTTACAGATACAGATACCCCTTTCATTTGCGGACTATATCTACCGCGTTTGTGACATGATTAACCTTCATATTCTTTAAATAAAATAGGTTATATGATAAATAATAATAATAATAATATGTGTTTGCTTGTTTTCAGTTCCATTAGAAATGAGGATATTATCAAGGGAACATTTCAATCGATGGTATAAACTGACGCCGTATTTGTTGTCTGTGATATTAGTTGAAATACCGTTTCAAGTAAGTACTTACTTTAAGGAAGTAGAAGTTACTAAATATTAAATAGCTAGTGTCTTAACTTCTTACCCATCACAGTGTCAAGTATACCGGGTTCATGTTGAAACTTGTTTTAAATTAATGCATAGATCTAAGAGGTTGGAAATTTATTGGAAGAATGCTTTTATAAAGTTGGTGGGTTGGCTCAGTGGTTAGAGGCATAACTTTAAGATAGAAAGGTCTTAGGATCGAATCCCACCGGTAGCAGGAATCTTATTTATTAAAAAAATATATATTTATTCTAATGCATAGGTTGGATTCCACACTCGACCATTCATTGTTGAGTTCTAATTAACAGTGCTGTTGAAGAGGCACTGGGAAACAGTAATAAGGTCTACACATAATACACATAAATAAGAAGACAAACATAAACTGAGAGTGGCATATTAGGTATATACACCTAGGCCATAAAAAATGCGTATATGCACATCCAGCTGTTGTTCTACCGGGTAGTGTGGGCCTAAGGACTACCAATAATTACTAAAAACCTCTCCTTTGCTAGCCGCAGTCGCAGCTGGAACCATTTTTTTGTTAATACGTCAGTCACAGTCAATGTCACTTTTTTTGCCTTACGCTCCTCCTTTCCCTTATTACTTATGATTTCCTTTATCATGTAAAGCATTAGCACTCAGTTTTCTTCAGATCTACAAATAATCAGGATCAGGATTTGTATATTCGGTACATACAGCCTTTCTGTTGGGTCCATCATCTGCAGTCTTCCCTATTTTCCTCGTAAAAGGTTCGAAATGAACCGTGGCCGTTCAAGGCTTGGGTCAGCCAATAGTTTGTTTTTCTTTGCCCAGTTATTTAAATTTCGGATCAGCCGCTTGGTCCACAAGCCTACCATTTGATTTTATACCACCTTTCTTAGCATTTCCTCATGCTTATTTTCATTGTTTCCCTTTTTCTCTGGTTTATTGTTTCCGCCATATATTATCTTCCTTTCTCCTACAAGGATGTCGATGGCCAGGACCTCCCCTATAACAGCCGCAGTGGATATCATGCGATAAGGCGATGCCATCCGCATATGTATCCTTCTTTGGGCTTTTACATGTAGGTTTCTCTGTATCTTCTGAATTCAATAACTCTGTACCAGACGGGTGCTCTGTACAGCAGTGAAAAGTACACCACGCTGGCTAATATTGTTCTGCTGTTGCTTTTTATTCTTCCGACATTCGTCATGAGCCTGTTAATCTCCATCGTCCTGGCGTCTGCCCTCACTATGGCCTCTCACATGTTCTCCAAAAGTGCAACCTCTGCCGAGGTATTTAACTGCCCGACTAGGAATAATATTTTAGGAAGAGTATTAATAATATTTTTATAATCTGTAAACCATCCAGGCTGCAGTTATTTACAATATTTTGAAAGTGGTAGATGACATATCAAATCCACATTTAATACCATCGTTTACACTTTAAAGTAATCTCGCAACTTTGCCAAATAATGAATACATTTTTTCTTAAATAATCTCTTATGTTTCCTTTATGCTATATGTACAACGCTGCAGGCTTATTGCTTGATAAACTTTTCTTATAATGTATTCCTTATTAGGTGATTTTATAACTTCATGTTTTCAACCGCCTATATATTGTTCCATGTCCTTTTTAGTACTTTTATTCTGTCATACTTTTAATAACGCTCAGTTACCTCAAGGTTTTCTTTGTACTACCCCTACAATATCTGATTCCTGCAGGAGATCCAAGACCTATTTAGTCGGATTGTACTAACAATAATATGTGGTCTTATTCATATGACAAAGATTCAACAGCTCTATTTTAAGTGTATTGTAGCTTGACTAACTGGGTCCTAACCTAGTTTTTCAAATATGCAAAACTGTGGACTAAATTATGTCTAGTATATCCCCCATAAAATAATTTTGGTAGAACCCCAAATTTACGGTTAGAATTCAATGTACCTGTATAGCAAGCACACATATCTACTATAATACGTCATTACGCATTGGCTGATATGAGAGAATACAGTGGTAACATGATGAATTTAGTAAGGTACAGAATATAAATGTACTTAAATGCGATGTATGTTAATCTCAACGTGTGTCACGCCTTTCCACTAATAGAGAGTTGAAGTGTTTCCTGTACATTAACGTAAATGTGTACGCCAACACAGAAAAATAATGTTTACGTTGAAGTCCAAAATATGAGTTGAAGTTGTTAAACGCATCGTGACTACGTGTCATGACAGATAATGACAATTAATAATAGGATTTCTTCTTTCCTAATTAAAAATAGGTTATTTTGTTTGCATTACGAAATGACGCCAGAGTCCGTAAGCTTACGTAGACGTATATGTGAACATGAAGGATATTTGAATAGGCATTCATATATGTCAATTTTCACGTATACGTTTACGTTAATAGCATCACTTCAATTCTCTAATATCTCAATGCCGTAATTTTCTGTTATACTTAGTACTGCATAGATAACGATAATTTGGACACCAATCAAAATACATTTGACAAGAAAGTTTCGCTGTTCGCAAACATAATGCATTAAAACTTACAAAAGGCTTTCAAAATTACGCTAGCGAAGTATGTTTGCATTCTTAATGCCTCTCATTATCAGTATAATGTATTTTTCTCCACGACTATGTAATAACAAGTTGATTCTTAATACATTTTTATTTTAAGTGTGATAATTATTCTTCGACTAGTTGAAGAATGTAAACATTCTTCAACTAGTGGAATAATGAAATCAACTAACTTTAATTTTCATAGTTCTTTAAGAACTTACCTCTGTTTTCAATGTAGTTAACTAATTTATTTAACAATAAACATCTCTTTAAAATAATATGCTTACTTAGTTACTTGATTTTTTATTTGTTATTCTTTGCCAAAATCCCGACTCTTGCCTCCACTATATAAAATTTTTAGATTTTGAGATCATCCTGTATAACAGGCTATAAGAGTCGTGGAGAAAGAATTGTCTTTAACTTGCATAGAATATGGCTATGATTCTAAGCTCGTTAAAGAATATACTATTTTCGTTGCAACTATCATAGTTGAAGGTGTTTATCAGAAAAGTACGCAATTCATTTTGTGTGTAACAGCAAGCTTGTAAGGTAAGCGAAGCGCACGTAAATACTGATTTATTTATAAAACGCATTCTTCCTCCTGAGATAAACAAACTGGCAGAAACCATCCCCACTCAAATTTACAGCAGTATCCTTCTTTCTAATGTGCCAGCTGATTAGGCAGCTCTGTCTGCGTATTATAAAACACTATAGGCGTTTTCTAATATTTAACAAAATGATGTATTGATGATGGATCACGTGACCAATATAAGGCCGACTGCTGCAATAGGCGTTTTCTAATATTCAACAAAATTATGTATTGATGATGGATCACGTGACCAATATATGGCCGACTGCTGCAATGCTGATTTTTGTCTGATGAAAATTATTTGAGAACGACTGACATTTGTGATTTTGTAATCTTAACTATCACGTCATAAAGACCTATTGGGTTGCAAAGCTTAAATGATAAAAAAAAGTCATATAATATATACCTTTTCATCGGTGGGGGAAGCGGCTATAGATTTTTAAATATGTAAAAAAAATACTGTTGCATGGACATATTCGAACGCGTCAGATATTGATAGCATCAATGTCCTACGTATTTTTACTTTCCTATCTGTATACAGATATAAGGAAAGTATAGGAATCATGATTTTTTTTGACCTCCGTTTTTCGACGGATTTTTACGTTTTGGGGTCCCCTGAATCCGTTTTGACTATTTTCGGGATGTCTGTCTGTCTGTCAGATAAAGGAAAAAACATTAAATTTTAAACTTAAGTTTTATTTCGGCCTGAGGTGAAATGATTAGATTTTATACGAAGGCGGAACATCTGAGGGGGGGGGTGTACTTTATGGGAGGCCGTTTTTATATGTTGTGGAATATATATTATAGAAAAATGTGTCGAGTTAGATGTATGTATGTAACAGAACTAGTTTAGTTACTACGAGAGCTAATATCTCAAAAGTACAAAGACTAGCCTGTGTTTGCATTACTGGTGCAATGAGAACCTGTCCTACGGCCGCAATGGAGGTGATCTTAAACCTCACCCCTCTACATTTGATGATAGAGAATGTGGCAAAAAGGACACGATATAGAATGATCAGGAGCGGAGTAATCAGACGAAAGTCTACTTGCTTCAGGACTAAAGATACCTGGGACATGCCCCAGGATGAAATGCAAAAGAAGTACAGTTTTGTGAAAAACTTCAAAACCACAGAGCTGGGCTGCAAGAAAGAATGGAGCCAAGAATCCATCGCGCTTGCAACCGAAAGACGTGCTATTCAGTGGTACACGGACGGTTCCAAAACCATAGAAGGAACTAGAGTGTATGGGCCGAGAACCAAGCACTCCGAAAGCTTGGGAAAATACCCAAGCATCTTCCAGGCGGAAATTCACGCCATCGAGAAGTGTATCCAGTTTAACATCGAGAGAAACTATCATAGACAAGAGATTATCATCATGTCCGATAGTCAAGCAGCCATCAAAGCGCTGAGTTCTTACGTAATCAGCTCAAAAATGGTATGGAGATGCCTAGAACAATTGAATGAGCTAGGCGAGAAAAATAGAGATACTCTCACTTGGGTCCCGGGACATAACGGGGTACAGGGTAACGAGATTGCAGATAGTCTTGCAAGGAAAGGGGCTCAAACACCCTTTGTAGGACCTGAGCCGTTCTGCGGTATCAGCAGTAACATAATATTAGAAGAGATTAAAAAAGAATTGGGTAGTAGAAGAACCGATAATTGGGACAATCTCTTGGGGCTGAGATAGGCCAAGATACTTTTGTGTGAATATAACCAAAAAAGATCGGAAGCCTGCATCTGCCTGAGCAAGAACAGGCTACGTATTGTAACAGGGATCCTTACCGGGCACTGCCGACTAAAAGGACACCTAAGTAAACTGAGAGTAGTAGAGGATAGTGAGTGCAGATTCTGTGAGGAGGAGGACGAAACCTCCATTCACATCCTAACTGAATGTGTAGCACTCCAGAATCCAAGGGCACTATATCTAGGAGGATATCAAATAGAAGAAGGAGACTTACCTAACTTGAAGCCACTTCAAATCCTACACTTCCTTGAGAAAATAGGATTGGAAGGATCGCTATAGGCATTGAGACATTTCCTTAGTGCAGTGGCGACAGAAGGGGGCACAATAGATCTTTTAGGTCGCAGTGTATTAACACCCCATTATCAACATAACATAACATAGATGTATGTGGAAAGTGTATATATTTAGTTTATCCTCTAAACATTTATAGAGGTGCTATAGGTTTTACAAAATAACCTGAAAAAGCCTATAATAACTAGATAGGAAAGTCATGTGTTGGACATATCAGATTTTTAGTAATGTACGAATGTTAATCTGATCGTTTGCATGGTGCGGATGGTTGTACGTAAGGGTTGAAAATGAAAAAAAAAATAAAATAAATTTAATCGAGGGCGTCAGATTTTATAAGGGGGTGTTAAGTGAACCAAAAAAAGCTATCATTCAATAATCTGACGATTTCGATGTGACGCAAACTCGTGGCCATTATTATAATGTGCAAAAAAAATTCGCCATTTTGAAATACTCGAGCTCGTCAGATTAGGATAATATGGTTCATCTTTATGTCCTAGACGTGCCGTCTCATAATCTGATGAGTATCTAGAGGGATTCGCCTAATCTGACAAAAAATAAATTAATTTTTTTAATTAATTGAACTTAATTAATTGAAAAGCTCAGGAAATAGCATGCAAATAAAAAAAGTGTATGTTTTTTAAGTAGAATAAATACTACTTGTATTTATAAGAAAATAATTAAAAAAAATGCTCAAAAAAATTTAATTTTTTTATAATTAATTGATCAATTAATCATCTTCATCTTCTGGCTTGATTTTATCCTCAGATTGCGTATCTGTAACTAAAAATCATTAAAATATTTTTTTTTATGAATAACGTGTTTTTATAATTATTGGAGAAAAGAAATACCTGATTCTGGAGTACCCTCAAGAATATCAGGTGTAATGACTACATATTCGTACGCTTTCGGCAATTAATCACCTGCAAACCAGATCATTTTGAATTTTCCGTCGACAACTTTCCATCCATAGTCCGTTGGTAAAAGATCAATAATTTCTGCATTATGGAGTAACTCCGATTCACAGGGTGGCAAGTTGCACGTATCGTAATTCCGGAGACTCAAGGAGAAGGGTTGTGATTTGTCTTATTGAAGATGACAATCCTGGCTTGATTGACACGTCTATCTTTTTCAACCCATACAAGTGGTAAGTAAAAGACTGTATGATGTTAAAAGAATCCTACACATTATGTTCCTTTGATCCCAAATCCAGAAATGCTTCTTGGAAAATTTCTGAATTTTTTTGTAGAGAGTGGATACTTCGATGAATCGGCGTGCATTGCCAACTCCAAGATCCATCCAAACTCCTACTCTTGCTTGCAGGTGTTCCATATCTTCGACTTGTTTCTCTAACTCATGAATTAGTACTGACTTATCAGTCTTGTTTAAAGAACCATCTATATGACATAGTGATAACGGCATAGGAGTTAAGGGACAACAAAGTACTTCAAGTCTATACTCGTGACAAGAGATAAAACTAATAACGGACCGAATAAATCCCGCTACAATGTAACTTCGTTAACTTTTGCAGCAATTTTCATTTTTTTTTCTTCTTGAGGCTTGCAAAAGTCAGCACCGTATTTTTTTTTAATGGCTGGTAAAACCTGTCTGAATTTAAATTGCATTCCAGTATGAATTGTTCTCGCTGAAATGTTCCTCCAGACACTGTCTTTAGTAAACAGTTTGTAATTTCTAGAGAAGCAGCTTGCCCTGTTGAAATGATAAACAACAGATCCGTATCAATTGAAGAAGAGAATGGAATGATGGTCTGCAGGACACTGTTCGAAAAAGCTTCAATTTGGATGTGTTGTTTTTTCATTCTATCTGGGTGTAGATTAGCAGCAATATCATGGTAGTTTCTGTCAAGCCCTGCACGAGTAAGTACATGAGATGTTCGCGCACCATGATTTTTAGCACAACGTTGTCTAGCAGTAATTGAATTTGAGAGGTTAACAATTCCAGTAAGACGAAACGCGGAGAGGGAAATATATGCATCACACAGCTGCACGTATTAAACTTTATCGACGAATTTATTTTTGTTATTTCGGCTTGCGGAAATCGTCAGATTATATATTTTTCGTTATTCTTGAATTATTTCCTTCAAAATAAAAAAAAATTAGCTACGCTCGAGAATGTCGAGATGACGTTTTTTTTTACAACTTTGCTGCCCTTCCCTTTCTTTACGTAACTCTCTTATTGTCAGATTAGTGGAATATACACTTTTTAGCATGTAATTAACTCACCCTACCTTAATCTGACGCGCTCGAGAATTTCTGATGACCAATTTTTTTTTTACTGATCTGATCCTTTATCCTTCACGGGCGGCCTTATATATGGGGCTCATATTTGGTAGAGGTACTTAACCGGGTACAAGGTATCCCCCTGTATATTAATCTGCCGCGCTTTAGTAAATCCCGAAATCCCCGCTTGGGCTCCCCTATAATTATAACATTTCGAAGACTTTTTGATAAGCATAAAAACTAAGACAAGTCTTTATTTGCTTGCTGTAAATCTAACGCTAACAATCTTATTTTAAAAGTAAGCCCACTTATAAGTTGGTTTAAGAAAACCCAGCGAGTTTCTTTATTCATATTATTAAGAATTTTAAGCAAATTATTTATATTTCCTTATCTGTTTAATATTAATTAATAATTTAAGGTTATGTCACGTGGTCCATCAGTGCATCAACATAATCGAGTTGAATTTAAGAATATAATGTATGACTCATCTTAAAAATTGTGATGGATAAAAGAACATTTTTGATGAAATCTAGATGACATAGATGAATATTAGAAAACGTCTAATCTGAATGACTGCAATAAAGAGGAATTAATAATTATAAATGCATGGATTAGTCTAGTAGAAGTAGAATGCGTTAGCATATTATTGCAGTATACATGAAATCGGTAAAATAGACTAAATTTTGAAATTTCGAAGTAATAATAACGAATGATGAAAAAAAAAATGTTTCTGACATAAGTACACCTCCGAATGAAACAAAATAAGAAGAATTGTTCGCTTCGACATGCGTAAATTTTTCGAAGGTCCATTTTAGAAATATTTTTGTGGATCACTCCATATTTTTCGAAACTTTTGCCTTATCTATACCTGAAATGAAGCACAATATCTGAATACGTGAATAGTATATTGATTTTTGTTTTTGTTACAGGTATTATGCACCTGGATATATATTGCGATTTCCTATTCGCTTACCAATCAACCGTTTGATTTCCGGTTGATTTTATTTGTTATATTTGTTACTGCATGCTCTCTGTGTGCCCAGTCTATGGGATATTTTATTGGAGCAACAACTCCAATTAAGGTAAGGCTTTTGATTTTTAAACCACCAAAATATATCTACCTACAATAATAAGTTAGTCTTCGAATGCCCGTTTCTTTCACATATAGATAGATTAACTTTATTCTCCAGATAACTATCCTAAAAGAAAGTTAACTAGAACTGGTTTTCTTGAACCAGTACTTTTATTTAGAATTATCCGAGAGATTTACGAATAAACACTATTTACTTTAGATGTTACCAATTCTTAAGTAGGTATGAAGACTATGTTAAAGTCAAATTATTTCATTCATACTTCATTCTGTTTATGGAATAAAAAAATTATTTTATTCTGTTTTAATTTTCGTATTTTTTAGTTTGTGTGTTGAATAAATTATATTTTTGATTGTTTTATTGAATTTTCATTAGATTGATATATTATTATATTGACTTTTTATTAGTGTGTAATTTTTTTTTTATTGTTATTGTCGGTTTATTTGACACATTGCAAATACCAAGAGACTAATATCTTTTAAATCTTTTACAATAACTATTACGTACATAATTAAATCGAAAACACAATACACAATAGACTTATCTAATTCAAATAACGAGGGTTTTGTTAGGTTTTGAGTTGAATTCGCCTTCCAATTCTATAGCTTGCGCATGCGCTTGATTTTCTACTTTTATATAAATTCACTAGACATTGGTAATACCCCCGAATAAATTATCCTGGAGATAAGACGATTTTAACTGATACAGTAGTTGACGAAACCAAATGCGATTAAAAATGATTAGGCATTCCAAATAAAAGAACTATCTGTGGAACGGTTAATTGGTATGTTTAAAGGATTGCGACATGCGATGTATTCTTTATATAATACGTTAAATCATGAATAATGGATTAAATGTAACTATTTTATGTCAAACACAACGAAAATATAATTTTTTTAAAATCAGCTTATATATTTTTCATAAATTGGGAGGCTTGGCGACTACTATTTCGAATAAAAATAGCGACCAAGATAAAAGGATATGTCGGAACCCTCTCACATATATGAGCCCTTCCCACCGACAGCTATTGATAGGAACATTTACCTGAAGCTCAAAAGACGAGGACGATATCAAAATTGGAAGAAAATTGGCCTCTAAGTAGCTTTTTTATATAATAGAAAAAGAGAAGTCAAAGGAAGTCAAAAAGATGCCAAATGATTAAAGATTTACATTTTTAAATTAATCTCAAAAAAAATATTACATTCAGTTACGCCAAAATATGAGTTACGAGGTTTTGACTCTACAACGTTATATTTTACGTTAAGAGACGCTAGCAAGAAGAACAAATATTGCGAAGACACAGAGCTAGGATATATAGAGGGAGCATGAGAGAGAGTATTTTACATATTTAATGTTAAGGTGATTACAGCACCCCCTTATAATTTTCGGACAAGGATATCTCAAAAAGTAATTTTTTAAAAAAATAAAAATTTTGGCAAAATATATTAGGCATTAATATCTAAAACATGCATATATTTTAAAATTTTAATTCCTTCCAGTTTCCGAGAAAAAAAATTAAAGGGCTTTAAATTTTGAAATATCATAATGAAAATAAATGCATTCCTAAACAGCACTATTATTAATATAATCCCCAAATTTAAGCTCTTAATCTCTTGTTAATGATTTTTTAAAATTCGCCGAAATTAGTGGCTAAAACGCCTTGTTAAGTGCTATTTTCTGGTTTAAACTGGTGTAAACTGGTTTAAATCGTTGCAAGAAACGAATGATGACTCAGAGTGTACTATAGTTACAGACGCGTTACACTAGAAAGAAGCACTTAACGAGGCGTTTTAGCCACTAATTTCGGCGAATTTTCAAAAATCATTAACAAGAGATTGAGAGCTTAAATTTAGGGATTATATTAGGAATAGTGCTGTTAAGGAATGCATTTATTTTCATTATGATATTTTAAAATTTAAAGCCCTTTGATTTTTTTTCTCGGAAACTGGAAGAACTTAAAACTTTAAAAAATATGCATATTCTAGATATTGTTGCCTAATTTATTTTACCCAAATTTAAATTTTTTAAAAAAATTACTTTTTGAGATATCCTTGTCCGAAAATTATAAGGGGGTGCTGTAATCACCTTAAGCGATGTTACAAAGATATCGTGGAATTTTAGGATGTTTGTTTTGACAAAGATTAACGTAAAAAATTTACAGTGTTGTGGTTGAGAAACAATAATTGGTTATTTGTATTAAAATTAAATTTCAAATTGTTTAACTGGAGGTTTGGAGTATTATTAATAAAAACCAGATACTAAAAATCCTATTTTTTTAAGCACATTGATTGTTTATACTGTATACAGGTGAAATGAAATTCCTTTGCTTTTACGAAATTTTTTATGCCAACCAGTACAGAACTTCATATTAAACAGTTAATGTTAATGATAATGTAAAAAATATACGAATGTATTCTACACAGTACACAAAAAATGTATTCTAAAAACTATATATATTATTAACTAAAAAATATAACAAAAGTTTATTTTATTTACATTTAAAATCAAAACAAAAACTCCTATGGAAAACACTATCTAAAACACATCACAAACAAACTAACTAAATAATCGGAAGATGCGAAAGAACAGAAGCATCATAATAATGACTAATAGGCTTGTTTTGGGTTTTGTTTATTTCGCAAACCTATTTAGAATCACTGAATTCCACTCGATCAGCTAATAGTTTGTTATAACATGGCGACGTGTTATGAAAAAAATAATTTGTCAACTGTATTCGACGGTTCTCTTTGAACCACTAATTTTGAACCCAACTTTGTTAACCGTTGCCAGATTTAGCAAAGTGTTACAATAATGGTTACTCAGACAGCACACATAGTCCAATAGAAATCTAGTAGGCTGGGCCGAAATAGGCATATTTTTGTAAACCATGTTAATTAATTTTAAATGAATCAAATCGGATTTTATTATAGAATCGAATTTAATCGGTGTGAAGAATAATAATACATAAAATGAAACGTATCGAATGAATGCCTAGGTAAGAATGCTGTGCTTATCACCACATATTCTTATGCGTCCCAGTCCGACGTATCATTCTACAAAAGATGAGTAGCACTCTTGCGTCATGACAGGGTGGTCCTAGCCTAACGATAAGCAAAACATCCGAGTGGTTACATTTTTAAACAAAATATAAAAATTAAGTTTACAATACCTATCAAAACTTGCGTTTTGCTGTGCTTACTTTTCGTACTTTTTTAAAATTTCTAAATCCACATTTTCAGCTTCCTGCCTGTAAAGTTAAAGTTTGAAATTTTGACGTACAATACCTACTGAAAGTTACATTTTAGTGTTTGTCTTCACAATCTTTATTTTTAATATTCATCTTCAGACCTATACTACCCCTTTTAACCAATGTTCAATCCTTTTGCCTTTAAAAGATGAGTTAAAAATTATTTGAACAACAAAACTAAAGAAGATGACTATGTAACTAATTTTACGCATCTCTACAGATTGATTATGGCAAGGGAGCTTTGGAAAATCAAATCATATCATTAGTAAAATCCCTTAAAACAGAAGGCAGAGTCACACCGCACATATTCTAGTAAATTCACTCAAAGTAGTCTATAGTACTGAAATTAATTTTTGGTATCACAAGGTGTCTTACTTTAATGATTTCTGGACTGGTTTCTCTAGCTTGTAAAATTATTCGTAGAGATTGTTCCGGAACCCATTCACGAGTGTCTGTTAGCATACACAAAAGAACGTTTTCTGGGTGTATAAAATATTCGTTTTTTTGGATTACCGTATCCACAATACTTTTTAAATCATCTCTTAAATACCGTGACAGTTCAATCGTTTTACATACACGCAAATTACAACTAGTAGAACTGAAATTTAGTTTAATATTAAACCACATTGGGGCATAAACTTTAATTATGAATTCGGCTATATCCGTAAGTCTTATTGTTGGATTCTCGGTTCTAGCATAGAGACGAAGAACACGATTTGCCATTGTGAGCCATCTAGAGTGCGCTAATTTCCCAGGATAACGGTGTGCTAAATTTAATTGCCGCTTGATATTTCATTGCAAATGTCATATAAATATGACTGATCAGAACTTAAATCTCTAGACATTACAGTTATATTTGGCAACTCACATTTTATGGAGGTAAAATTTACAATTTTAAGACGTTCACGTTTTTCTAAAGACTTCCCGATTTCACCAGAATATTGACGAGGTCCCACTGTGCTACCGTCTAAATGTTGGAATAAATGTCTTAATGTCAATTCGTTGGCATGTAGTTGGCAAATACACCATTGTAAAGGACGTTTCAATTCAGTCTCAATATACCTAATAACACCATTTTTATTACCAGTGTTAACAACAGTACCTTCGCAACCCACAGCCGCCAAATCATCTAGTTCCAAATTGTTTTTAGCAAAAAAGTCCAATATTTATTTTCCAATTAACTTTGTCGTCCCTGCAGTTGGAGTTACGTGGCCAATATAGATAGATTCAAGTTCCTCGATAAACGATAGGTGTTTTTCGACAACAGTTTTATTTTATAATCTACCGTTTTTCTTCTCTAATAATAATATTCTACCTAATTCGCCCCCTTACGAGTGAATTTTAACCCCAAAAGCTGAGCTTGTGCGGGGAAAGGGACGGCTATTATTATTATTTGCCGTGGCGCTCCGGGGCGACCTAAAGATCATTAATGGTGCCATTTGACTTACAGGTGAGGAAAACCCGGAAAACCTCACCCACTATCATCGAGACGGTAATGCATGGCGATTTTATAATCTGTATGTCATATCAACAAATTGAATTTCTATTAATACGGCACACATCAAATCCTATACTGAACCATGCAATTTAATTCAAAATCCACATGGTCTGGTCTGCGATTCGAAGCCCGCCTGTCTTCGACCAGAAACTTGCCTATATATGAATATAAGCGCGTCAGACCGCTACACCACCGCTTGCAGTAAACTTTTGTCCTTTCTTTTATCAAAATACATACTCCTTATTCTTTTAAACTCCTTTCTTGTGGTATTTCTAGATTTCTTTCGCTCTCTTCTCACTTTAATTTTGTGAACTATTTTATCGCACACAAGACCTAACGTAGGTAACTTTGTTCTCATTTAAGTGTTTTTAGAGGTAGAGGGTAAGTTTGGATTGATAAAGTCGTCATTTGAAGAGGATATATATTTTGAGGGGTCAGACCCTGAAAATAATGTAGTAGTTTGAGAGGAACGGCTGGGTCTTAATAAATTGCAAGATTCTGATTCTGACAATATTTTCTTTGTCTTTTTCACGATCTATATTTCCTATGCTCATTTTCGTAAACGATCTTTGATTAGAAATAAAATTTTGTTCCTTAGTAGGTACTTTCCGGGTCATTTCACATATGCATGCAGAAACATCGCATTTACAAGCAGCTATGTCAAATAATTTTCTATAACACTCTATTTCAAATGTATTTATCTTTTCGTCATAGCTGTTGTTTCGCTTGCTTTTGGGATATCTTATTAAAATCCTATATTATAATACTTCCATATTGAGAGCACAATATTGTTGATGCCTATTTCCAAATGTTTTTAATTTTATAGGCACAAGTTCATTACAAATTTTTTAAAAGACTTGGTTCTTTTCCACTATATTTCTGACACTTTAGTTCAGTATTTCTCAAAATGGCCCAGGTGGCCCCCAGGGTAGCTATTCTTGAATTCGAGGGAGTAGAAAACTGGTTTTTCCTCTTTATCTGCAACGCACAAAATTTGTATTTTTGTCTCGTTCTTCCCTCAAAATTTCTACTCCCTGATATTCAAGAATAGGTACCCTGATGTCCACTAGAGACTCGACGGGGGTCTACGTTGGGCGTAATAAAAAAATGGAGATCCACAATCGGATGCGGGGGTTTATAATATAAACAGTCAACATTTTAGTTACTATGATAATGGCTTGCGGACATCTTACAATATCTCATTACTTATTGCAAAATCTTGAAAACCGCACACCATTGGAGAACAGTTAATTTTACCTACTGTTGAAGAGGTTTTAAAAACTGTTCTGCACAAATCTTCATTTGACATACCTACTCAAAAGAATTCCTTTGAGTAACAATACTGTACAAAGACGTATTGATGAAATGAGCTCTGATGTTAAAAGTTTTTTGTGTGATTATCTACGAACAACTTATTTTTCTATTTAACTGGACGAGTCAACTTTACCTGGCAATGAAGCGTTATTATTGACATATGTTCGATTTGTTATGGGCGAAGGAATTCATAAAGAACTACCATTCGCGAAAACTTTGAAGACAGACACTAAAGGGAATCAATATTTAATGTTTTGAGTAATTTTTTTAAAGAAAAATCGATTCCATTTGCAAACGTTATTTCAGTGGCAACACATGAAGCTCCTGTTATGGTCGGGCGATATCGTGGGTTTATAAGCCATCTTAAAAGAATTGTACCAGAGGTAATTACGATTCACTGTGTTATCCACCGACAACATCTAGTAGCGAAAAATTTGAGTAATAGATTGCAACAATCGCTTTAATTTGTGATTAATGCAGTTAACAAAATAAGAAGCAATGCATTGAATACGCGTTTATTTGCACAATTGTGCGATGAAAATGATGAATACTTCCAACGATTGCTGTTACATACCGAAGTACGCTGGTTGTCGAAAGGTGCATGTTTATCAAGATTTTATTTACTTTTTGACTCAGTTTTAGAGTTTTTGAAAAGTAAAGATATTGATTTAAAAAAAACCTTGATCAATTTAAAGCAGACATCGCGTATTTGACAGATTTATTCAAAGAATTTAATGACCTCAACTTACAATTACAAGGGGACAGCCTCAATTTAATAAAAACAAAGAGTGTAATTTCAGCTTTTCTTGAATTGAAATTTATGAAGGAAAATATTGGTCGGCGCGAATTTTCACAGTTTTCAAACTTCGCAGGTAGAATGCCTTGGTGAAGATATTCAGACATACGTTCAACATTTAATTGCCCTGCATGATGATTTAAAATTTAGATTTGAAGATATTCTGTCGATGGAAATGCTACCATGGATCATAAATCCATTTGATGAAACGGAAGTGGAGAATATGATATTACAAGAGGAGCTACTCGAGTTTAGCACTAAAGAGGAGCTGAAAGTGACATTTAAAAGAGGGTATCAAAAATTTTGGCTGCAGGCAGAAATATCCGAAAAATATCTTGGACTGTGGGGAATTGTGCAAAAGCTTCTTATAGCGTTTCAGTCGTCATATCTCGTCGAAAAAAGTTTTAGTGCCGTTACAAACTTATTAACAAAAAAAAAGGAGCAGATTGAATATCACAGAAAGGGAAGATTTACGGTTATTCCTTACAGAACTCAAGCCAAATATTGATAATTTGCTGTCAATCCATCAAGTACATCCCTCTCATTAAAATTATATTTTTTTGTAATTACCATTGTAGAAATTACATTACGTTTAAGTCTTTAAATTTAATTATATTACGATGGTTATAACAATAATAATTAAAAGTGTAGTAATTTATATGGATGGAGTCACTTTTTCGTTTGGCCAATACAACAAATTGTGTGTAACATTTTTCTTGCATATTTGGAGTTTTCAGGTTTTATAATTAATATAGGAGAAAATATTAAAATACTATAGACAGAAATGATGAAACGATAGCGCAATAGATTTTTTTTTCATATTTTATTAAAAACCGCAAAATTCATTACTTCGTAAAGAATGTATTACGAACTTAGTATTTGTAGGTCGATAGAATTATCTTGCATATTTATAATAGGCAATAAACTAATATATGCATTTAGCTTTCATACTAACAGGGTCGGAGTTTCTAAGACCTCCAACCTCGTTTTCCGATTTTTTGCTAGAAGGCGGTGGAGTCTACATCCTTCAGTTGTATTTTCAATTTCCTGACAGAATGTTTTCCATGAATCCCTCTTAGATTTCCTAAGAGTATTATTATTCTCTGTAGTGTTTCGGTGAATTCCTCCCACTCATTTGTCTTATTTGCCTTATTAAAAATTGTTCGTGTTTTCCTTGGGACTTTTTTGCAATTTCATCTATATCATTTTTAGTATTAATAGTTTTTTATATACTCACTGTGTCCCTAATGTTGCCGTCAATTATTGATGCCTAGATAAAGCTTAAAGGTCAATAGAAGAATCAGGGCTAGTTACACAAATTTTAGAGGAAATAGCGTCGCTTAGGGATTGGAATTTGTTAGCAACTTTTCTGCATTTTCCAGGGCAAAATGTTTGCTATATGCCACAAGCAAAAAGGCTATAAATAATTAATAACAACGTTCTAATCGTAGTTCTAATTGTCAATAAAATAATACATATGCAACTAACAATACAAGAAAGTAATATTGGTTGCCTAAATGTCAGTAATATTTAGCCAAATCACAATTTTAATCAAAATTAGAAAAAATATTGTATCTAACATGTTACGAAATACCGTTTTATGTAACTCGTTCATGTTGCGGGACCTTGCCTTGCTCTTCCCGCATATATTCATTGGTTACACAAAATAAAGCATTTTGCAACTGATTTCATAAGCAGCTAGTATATAATAGTATGTAATACGTTACGAAATACCAACTCGTTAATGTTGCGGGACCTCGCTCTGCTCGTCCCACTAATATTCATTTATTACATAAAATAAGGCATGTCGTAACTGGTTGCATAAATAGCTATTTTATAATTCAAAATTATTATAGGGCGCAACTTGTAGAACTAACAATGGTGTATCTAAATACTAGATATAAAGTAAAAAACAAATATTATAAATTATAAATTAGCGGCTTTACAAAACTATCACCATAGTCTTTATACAAAATATTTAAGTTTGGCGAGGAATGAATTGGAGTCACTAGGCGACTACAATGTATTGTATGTGACTAATAAGCGCATTGTTCTTCAAATCATTTCTGGTGGCTACTAAAAACATATTTTATAAATAATTTTCTTTATGTTTCAGGTTGCTGTCTTTACTGCACCAGTGTTAGCCTGTTTCTTGTCTGTGTTCGGATTCTGTATACGATCATTTGACACGCCTTATTTATTTAAGCCCATTTTCTTTATTAGTTATTTTAGAGCTGCATTCCAAAGTGTTGTTTATTCAGTATATGGACTAGATAGAGGAAAATTGTATTGTTCGCCAGACAATGAATATTGCCATTATCAGGATCCGGAGCATTTTCTTAGAGAAATGGATATAGTTGATATTGATTTGGTTTCAAATTTCATCTTGATTCTTTGTATAGGGTGCATTATGTACGCTGCTACATATTTAACTTTATGGTTAAGATTAAATAAACGTTAGATGGCTCAATTTAATAAAAAATTATAAGTCTTACTGCCAAAGATATAGAAATTAATGAAATAACGTAGGTATTTATGATGTGAGTCACATTTAAATTTTTTTATTATATTACATTTTTAAAATTGGTTAACATAACATCGTGTGCAATCATTTTAAATCATTAAAACATGGCCAGTTTAAAAAAAGGAGTTTTTAACTTTTCTCATGCTAAAAAACTTATTATTTTATTATTTTTACATCACATATAATTAGACTATTGAAATTATAAATTCAAACGATTTTTAACTTTTTTCCACAATATCCGCCTATATCTATAACTTAGTTTTAATTGAAATCGTTTAAAAAAGTTTCTTGTAGAAAAGCCTATATAAAAATTAAATTTTTTGCGAATGTCGAGTATTTCTAGCTCAAACTTTTATTTTTTATAGGTATCTACAAAATAAATTGCTTTAGCTACGTTTTAACCAAAAGGGCGCGACTATATGGTTTTGTTAAATTATCTAATAGGGTCGTAGATTAAGTACCAAACTTTAAAAGATGTGCAGGTTGAATCCAATAATTTTCGTTGTATCTATAACAGATAATTTATAGCATTTTTATATAAATCAAGGGACTCGTTGAAATATGTATAATGAAGGTCCAATAAAAATAAGCAAGAAAAGCTTCAACAAAATTTTAGTACAGTGTTTGAAGGTTTTTGGCTCCAATTTCTTTAGGACTAAAACGATTAACGTGAAATTTGGACAGTTAGTAGGTAAGAAATGGCTCATGGAAGAAAAGTTATACAATGCCGATGTGCCCTTCTACCGTGGGGAAGAATGCCGCCCCTTCTCGGGGGTGGAAATTATTAAACTTAAAATATCGTAAGATTGAAGTATTCTAAGAAAAAAATGTTCCATGAAGTTTTTTTTTTTTTGATAAATTAACGTTTTTAGAGTTATATCGCGATTGAAAATGTTGATTACTCAATAAAAAAAGAATGTTTTACAGTGATTTATCAACGAGTACCTCAAGAAAAAAATCAGAAAAATAGAAAAAAAAACAAAATCATAAACAAATAAAAATAAAAAAAGAATCGATTGATATTTTTTTATTTCTGTAGATGCAATACCAACCGACTTTTGGCTTGTTGAAGTTAACTATTTTTTCGCCAAAAACATTAAAATGTTAAAGACAGAAAATTACAATTTTTTTAAGGAAAACTCGTTAGAGCTTTTTAGAGTGCTTAGAAAGACTTATCGGGAAAACAAAGTAGCCATCTCGTTTTTCTGGATGAAAAATCAGCTGAAGCTAATGGCTTATCTACAAGAATTAAAATTATACGTCATCCAATTAAAATTAACTTTATTAAGGCACTAACAATCTGTTCTAAAAGTTTGATTCAATTTTAAAATATCTTTTGATAATTTCAATAAAATCTTCTAATTTTCACAATACCTCAAGAACTAAAGAAGATAAGCGAAAAATACACGGGTTAAGAAAAGTAGGTTTTTGTTTGCAAAAAATTTGGTTTTTGTTTCTGCAGGCTAAAAATGACTTTTTTAGTTTTTTTTTTTCGAGTGCGAGCTAAACAAGTTCAAATTTAGAGACCTTGCAGTTCTTGAAATTCCTTGCAAAATGGGTTCTTGAGCGATTAGTTATTTTTAAAATTAACAGGTTCATACTAACGGCGCGCATACACCTCCAGACGTTATTTGCTGTGTGCTAACGGCGCGCAAACGCGTACACGGTATTAGTTCAATTTGTGTTAGTATTCTATTAGCACGAGTGTTTAACTTTTTGAATTCTGTGTTTTGCTTGGCTTCGACAGTGATTCTAAAATGGTCGATTCTGAAGCAGGTCCCTCACAGTCGAAACTGCATAAAATGAGAAAAAATAAGCATAATTCGTTAACTGAGGACGAATAAGAAGAATTTTATTTAAATTATTTTGGTGCCTGAAATGTCGTCGTTTTATAGTTTTCAAATTTTTTCTAATCCAAAATGTGTTTCTTTTTTTATTTTTTATATTCTATGTATGTCCAACAATTAAATAATTTTATTTATAAAAAAAGTTAATACGCTTGTACGCGTCCATCAGCTCCCGGAGTGAAAATTCGGGGTGCACATGCACCTCTGTTTGGGGTTTCACTTCATATTTAACAAGTGACATTAAAAACTTAATATTAACCTATCTAAAGTAATTGCATACAGCTTCTCGTAGATATTTGTCATCCGCCATCGGTTTAATATTCCTTTTGACCGTTAACAGTAAACCTGTTAAAGAAGGTATTTATAAAAATTAAATCTGATTTTTCGAAAAAAAGTTCGGAGCATGTAAATTACTGTATTCTCGACAGTTTCAGAGCGTTTATAAATGCATTCAAACACAAATTTCGGTATACTTACGTGTGTAACTATATCCTAATACACTCATAGGTTCAAAAATTGAGTTGCTTCAATGACTTATTAACTATTCTCGATCAGATGCGCTATGAGAACTTTACTAAGGCTACCTCTAAAAACAGTAACTTGCATCCCTTGTTCCAACAGTTAATGCACTGTATGAGCTTATTTACAAACCCAAATGTGAACACAACAATTCGTCCAACTGATTGGAGATGGTCTAAAAATAAAAAATCGTAACATCTAATTGAAATGGTAAATATGCCAGCACCAAAAGAGGTCATTAAAATGATATTTTAAATTTGCAAAAAATGCTGCTTAATTTGTGATGTCAATTCAAATGTGGATCCACTGATATATGTCAAAAATGTCTTCGAACTGAAGATCAAGAGGAGGATGTCGACAGTGATGGTAGTTCAGTGATGATGCATAGAATTTTGATAATAAATCACAATATTTTAATGTACATTAAAATTCGATTTTTCCAATTTTTTCATTTAATACTTTCAGTGTGAGGAAGTATAAATGGTTGATTTTAACCACAAGGGCGATTTCTGAGAGATATAAAGTTGCAAAAATCAGAAAAAGTATTTAAAACAGGCCCGGAATTTAATTTCTTTATATATTCACCAATAAAAAATTTCAAGATGTTTAAAATTATTTTTTTTTGTAAATTTCGTATTAAGGGTTTTAAATGTTAAATGTTAAATGTTGAAATAAATCATAAGTAATAATATGAATATGAATAATAATATCGTCATAAAAAATTTAAAACTGTTTTTAAAAACTAATTTATTTATCAATTTTGTCATAAGGGGTAGTTTTAAAGGGAGAAGACATTAAAATAGATCATACAGTATGTTCAATATTATAAAATATAGGTATATCATATTGTTAATATTTTTTCCTACGATCACTTAGGAAAGTGACACATATCACACTATTTACTAGAAGAGCCATATATCACACACGTGTGGATAAGAATCTACTTTTCACCAGTGTATGAATATCTACTTACCGCATTAGCTGTCAAATATGTCAAACTGGTAATTTATATTTTTATCTATGTAATGACCATATTAAGAGTAAAATAGTGTTGATGATTAAATCGTGAATACTGATTTTTGCACCTAGATTCTAGATATTTATAATTAACAAATTATTTAAATAATTTTAAAGTAGATAACATTATTTTTAGTTTTTTTTTTAATATAAATATTAATTTAGGCAATTGATTTAACAAGCTTGTTAGCTCAGTTCATAGAGCGTTCAACATTATCAACTTTGCATGTTTTGACCACTTCGTGACGCATATTCAATCCCTACCATTGAAAGCACTTTCTTTTATTTTTTAAAAAAATACGAAAATTGAAGAAATACGACTATTGTTATTTATTTATATATTTTAAATAGGTACATTTTATTTATCTTAATATAACATCTACAGTTAATATTTTTGCTGTTTACTTTATACTATTTACATTAATTTTCAGAAAAAATTTGTAAGTAGGTAATACAAAACTTCTTGTTCATGGTTATTTATCTTAGTATTTGAAAAAATCAATGATTAAAAAATATTATTGTATTCTATTAGTTTTGTATACCTAATGTTATTTTATCGTTAATATCCTATGAAAGTGTTTGACAATGAAATCACGCTTTTAATTTCGACAAAACATTTTAAAATTTATTTAATAAGCTACATAAAAAAAACAAATCTTAAACTAGCCACATACTGATTGAATCTTTATAGCCAGATTTCCTGGTTTTACATATTTTTGATAAAAATATTTTGTAGTCGTAGGAAAAATATTGTTCATCACTTGTGCAAGTGATTTTTCATACTCGTCTGATTATGGCACTCGGCTTATGCCTCGTGCGACAATATTTTCCAATCGTGTGAGAAATGACACTGTTCACACTTGTAATATAAATATGATTTTAATCCAAACGACGCTAAAATATATGGTTTTCAAACAGGGGTAGTTCTCACCCCCTAAAACTAAAAAACGCACGTCAGCAACGTATAACTTTTAAAGAGGAGGAGCTTAATTTCAAATTTTTATCCGAAAAAGTCGATGGTAAAAGCCTATTTTTTCGTTTAAACACCGAACTATATTTAAAGTATTAATACATCAAAAAAAATAAAAAATGTTTCTTTGCGAAAGTTTTTCACAAAAGTGATAATTAATTAAGTTGAAGAATATCATCATTTTATTCAAAATTTTATTGCGTTTAAGTTTAAAAGCTAAAAACGAAAGATATTACTTAATTATGTTTAAATATAATTTTATATTTATTTAATATATTTATATGTCTATTATAAAATATTTATCATTTTTATAATAAGCCAAAGATACTTTTAATATTTAATTACAATAACAATTATAGAAATTAGGTAATTTTACTTAAATTTTTGACACTTTTTGTTTACTTACTTAACTATGTAGTTTATAAATAATATATTTTTTTACTGTATTGTTATTATTAATTTTATTATTTTAGGAAAGTCAACTGTAAATTTCGGCCGTCATCTTATAATGAAATAAAATATGCCCCGAAAGTACGTAAAAACACTCCCAGTAAACTACAAATAGTCGGCATTCGCTCGGCCTGACACCGGCATGTACGGGAAGCTGAGTACTCGGATTGCCGTTGTCGGGGTTGCTTCTGAGCCGAGAGGACCGTAACATTTGACGTAATTTAGAAGTAGAAACCGCATGTGGTCCATCTTTGGCTTTCCAGACATGGAAGGCATCCTTACGGGCCGAACGCGGTGAATATTTGGGTAGCCTGCCATGAGAGTCATCCTTACGGGCCGAACTATATATAGATATATGTGTAAACGCGGCTACAACGTAGTGGGCTGCCGACATTCGGCTGGGCGGACATGCCCTACTTATATGCCGAAGCTGCACCCGTATATCGGGCAGAGTCCGGCATCCAGCAAGCCTCCTTCGATCCAGTTACGGTGCCGATTAACTGTGTTTATTGGGTTGTTCTTTACCAAACGGACCCATTTCCAATCAAAGTGATTAAAACAATGGCATTTCCGGTGTCATAATTTTCGAGAAATGTCGCGATATAATACAGAGATAAGAATTATACCATCGGATATCCTTTGATTAATAGAACTCATAAAAGTACCTATCTGTGCCACCTCTTTTCCTGAGCCAAATGTTCGGTACGGCCTTTTTTACAACCAAACTTCCCTCATATGAGTTAAAACAATATGCAGTCCAAAGGTTGTAATGTCCCATTCTCGAATATGTGCCGCGATTTACCATGAAGTAGGTTGCTGGCATAGCGCGATTTCTAAGGGTGTACATGCGGATTATGCCTCGATGACCGATAGGCGGTGGTACACTCTCATTTAAATTAGTACATATTACATCGTCTATAGACATCTTCGACATGAACACACCCTAAGACATGCCTCTTCCCATACAATATATTTTATATACAGAAAATCACGTAAAACATTTCAGCGATTGCCCTACAAATTACAATCCTAATTAAATCTGAGGTCGGTGCTTATGTTGAGTATGGGGTATTAATTGCACTGCGATCTGATTGCCCCCTTCTGTCGCTAATGCTTTAAAGAAATTTTGGCGTTGTAGGAAATGGCGCGTGAAAGTTTAGAAATATTATTGTGTCCGTACCTATACCGTTTTAACAGATCAAAAAGAATCAATTAAAAAAAAATAGATCAAACCTCCATTTTCAGAATTGTGAAGAACCTACCTTTTGAATCTAAATTATTATTATTTTTACCTTTTACCTATTTATATACATGTAGTTGACAAACATAATTATATAACATAATCATAGTATTTTTTTGTTGTTTTTATGACAATCTGCAAAAATGAATCAAAATAAAAAGTTGAAATTTTATACATTATCTGGAAAATTTCTGAATATAAGTATTTAAACATTAAACATTTATTTTTATTAGAAGAAAGCATCTTTTTAAAGGGAAAATTCAATTAGATTGAATTTTTATTGTTCTGTTCAGAATAATTTACGCGAGAGTACCGATAATAATTATGGCACCTGAAGTTCTACTACTGTCTATTGATCAATGTATATCTGATGACATAATTCTTATTTTGATATCAAATCGCGACATTTGTCGCTAACTATGGCACCGAAAGTACTATTGCTTTAAACCCTTTGCTCAGGATGGTAATTGGCACAGGTGCCGTTTGGTGAAGTAATGTTTTTACATGCCATTCGTGCCATATTTTATTTTGTTATCAGATGACGGCCAAAATTTGCAATGGGCTCTTGGGTTATTATGTCGATGGCTCAATCAAAAACCGCCACAAGTCAAAAAACAAAGAAAGTTACATTTTTGGTTCAATGGATGCAAAATATCATTAAGGTTTTATTTTAAATACCTCCACAAACAAAAATATCCTTAGAGATAAATCATTTAAAATCTAGCCACAAACTTGGTCTAAAACTGCCTCAGTTCGAGTTATTTTCTGCAAAAACACCCAAATTTTTTACAAACTATGCAACAACTCGCTTTTATAATCATAATTGTTAATTTTAACAGTAAAATATCAAAGCTTTTAAATAAAATATAAAGACTTTATGTCAAAAACAAAATAATGATAATAGAAACTTACAAAATTTTAAGATGAAATTTCTCGAAACAATAGTATTTTAGTTGTGGCAGTATTTGATTGAGCCATCGATGTGTTACCTGTAATTTGTAAAAAATGTTGTTTAAAATTGATTAGATATCTTTTCCAATACATATTATTTATAAATACTCATGACCAAATAAATGCATAATTAAAATATTTGGAGCTACGTGAAAAGATTTATTGATTTTAAAAATATTTATTGTCACAATGTAAAAATAACAATTAACCTACATTTAAAATAAAAACCTGTTCCTAACTAAAAAAAAAAAAAAAATGGTAGGTTATTCACCATTTTCTTGATTCATACAAAATATGCAAAACATTTAGTCATGTTTGTGTTTAAAATGAAATTGAACTTTTTCTGTGATAAAAAAGATAACTGCTACCCAAATTGACTCTGTAGCATCTCGGCATATGTTTGACCAACAAAGTTGACATTCTCAGAAGAATAAAACTAATAAGTAGGTAATCATTTCGATAAACCCATCGAAAAAGGTTGTAACTGATACGTCCAATAGATAACGTATTTCAGTTCGCAGTAGGTTTGTTCATACTCGATTGAAAAAAATTGTATTTTAATTTACGTGCACGAATTCAACCTTAAAAAGGAGTGACACCTTTCTTAAACTTTATTTATTTATTAAAAATAAGTGAATTGATGTAGTAGTGATTTTGATTATTTATTTTCGTTTATGAAGATGGCCACAATTGAGCAGATGAATGAATACCCTCTACGATTTATTAGAGTATTATTCAGTTACTATTGCTGCGTTTGAGAATCCACATCGGATGCATTTTTTACATCTCGAGCGTTTTTTTATCCACATCGGACACATCTGTCCCATTACATTTACGTATACTGAATCACGTGATCAAAGATTTTTTACATCTCAGATGCATCCGATGTGGATTCTCAAACGCAGCACAAACAAGTATTAAAAAAACCTGTTTTTAGTTTTCTGATTCTCCTGGTAATTACAACCTTTTTCGATGGGGGCGTCGATGCCTATGAGAGGTTAAAAGAAGTAAAATTTTAATAGAATATTTTTTTATGTTATATATTATTTTATTATTTTAATATGTAAGTAATTTTTTCCTCGGTATGTACCTTTTTCATTTTTTTATTTTATCGAAATATTGCTTACGAATACTTTTCTTCGCCATTTCATTTTATGACCTATTATATATTGTTGATATAAACAAAATATAAATGTTATTAAATTATTATTTAGTTAAATTATTATTTAGTTAAATTAAAAATTATTTTCAAATAAAATTTTATAAAGATTTTTAATTCCTTCCTTATGCCTTTGTTTTCCTTTATTTCTTTGCGGTTTTATATTTTATGGTAAACTTCCTAATACTATATAATACAGGGTGTTCCACTAGTACGTAATTGTTCAATATTTCAATTTGTGGTATTACCACGCAAACAAGTTTTAAGTAAAAGTTATATGGATTTAAAAAATACGTATTTTAAAAATATTTTTGCCTTTTTGTCTGGCAAATAAAAATGTACATTTTTTAAATATTACACCCTGTTTTTTGCGAAGCAATTAATTTTTTTATGAAATTGGAAAAGCAGACCCCAAATTAAATTATCATAATTTAATAATTTTAAAATTGTTTAAAATAGGGACTTATAAGATACTAAACTAACGAATAGTGCAGTGTTGATTGAACTGGTTTATTTTTTTTCAAGTATTGTTCCACTTATCTTAAAAAAAAATTAATGAAGCATTAAATACAACACCCTATAGGCATATAATTTTCAATATCTTAAATATATCAAATAATGGAAGTACATTGGATATGTTAAACATCTATAGGATATATTCATTGGTTACTTATGAACCTCTATTAGATAATTTGCTGGATATTCATAGAATATCTTCTATATCCTGGATATAGACGAACATTTGGATATCCATATTAGATCCAGTGAATATATATCCTTTGGATATATTGGATATCCACAAAAGATATCTCTGGGATTTCGTGTATTGTCTGGGAGATACCCATTAGATATTTTGCTGGATATCCATAGATTTAGGTTGATTTGTAGTCTCAAAAGTCAAATTTAAAAAGTATAAACTTTTAACTTGTCGTTGACATTTCATCACGTGACCAATAAAGTCTAGAGCGTTTGTTGATTACATCTACATTCAGAAATTATTCTCCATCACGTGATAAAAAATTCACATCTCGGATGCAATCGATGTGGATTCTCAAACGCGGCAATTATACTTATTTATCTAAAATCTAAACTGTTGGTCCAGCTAAACATAACATAACCTTACTTGTTAAATTCTTCATGCATGCTATTGAATACAAGGCAGATGTAATAAGATATAAGTAGGTATATGAAGGTGTGTAAAATAACATCCATCTTAATTATAATAAAAGAGTGTATCGTAAAAACAAAATAAATTTCAAGTTGTAAATTACCTAAAAAGAACACGGATTTTAACGTACATTCATACAACCTACTTAACAATCTTAATAACGTGAATTTAATCATAGTCTTATTTAACTAAAGTCTATCAACCTTTAACACTAATAAATTTAGGTTTTAAAGCTTACTTACCTCCTTTTAATCCAAAATTATCAAATTAAAGTCATTCACACGACACAAACAGAACGAAAACAAACTATAAAATGACCTATGGAACCTGTGAGGTAGAGATCATGGAGGAAGGATAGTAGGGATGCGCACGATGTATCGATATTTAAAAAACATCGATTTTTAGGTCTCGATTATCGATGTTATTTGTTAACATCGATTTTTCAATTAACATCGATGATTTTCTTTTTAATGTTTCTTGGTTTCTTGTTAAGCGTCACGGTTCATTTGATGGTTTGAATTCCTTTTTTCCTTTCCTTTTTTTTGCTCTTCAATGAACGCTTTTAGAAAACATCATCGATGTTTACAGACACATCGATGTATGGAAAAACAAACATCCATATTTAGAAAAATCCATATCTTTTTTCCGATTTTTTTACAACATCGATAGTCTGTGTTCGGTGTATCATTTGATGTCAACATCGATGTTGAAGTCAGAAAATATCCGCGCCTGCGCTCGCGTTCATTGCCAATATTATATATCTAGCAAATATATGTGGGATATTGAATGCGCTAGTTCAGTGATGACGTAATTATGGTTCCACTGACAATTAAAGTGACAGTAGATTTTTTGAGTGCGTTTTGTTCGTTTTGTTTACCTAAATTATATCGTTTTTTTCACTTGTATAAATATATTCCTAAAGTAAGTAGATAGCGTGTATCAAATATACAATCGTTAGTTACCAATTACATACCTTTAAACTATTTTTTATGACTGTAAACAATATTTTGAAATAAAATAAAAACAGTAAAAACGTATATGTCAAATTTATTGATGTTTTTGTTAAAAGTTTGGTTAGAATTAAATGTCAGTGGAACCAAAATGACATCACACTGAACTAGCGCATACAACTTACTAATTTTAAAATTCTATAAACCATACCTACATGCTTTCTTAGTTATCACATGGCGTAATATTTAAGTAATTTAATAATTATTAAATCAATTCACATATTTTCCGATATTTAGGTACATATTATATCCATAAATTACATCTAGTGGATATCCACCACTTTGATATATTTAGTGGATATCCATGGGATATTAAATACACCTTGAAAAAAATTTAATTTTAAATATCTAAACGGTACTATTAGCCACAATAGCGTATTTTTTTAATAATTTGTTATATAATTAATATTAATTATACATTTGCATGTCTATAAATTATATCTCATGGATATAAAATAGATATCCACCATGGACTAGGCATTCAGTGGATATTGGGATGTCCAGTAGATATCCAAAGGATTTGGTGTGCTGTCTGAGCCCTGTTTGAAGAAAAGGTTGAGATTTATATCCTCGTTTGAACGCATTGAGTGCGTTGATAAAGATAAGATTTAAATACAGCAATTAACATGTCAACTCTTCTAAGTTAAGCTTATATAAAAGTAGGCTATGATCAATCCTATCAAACGCTTTAGAAAAGTCAGTGTAGACAATATCAACTTGACGTTTCTTCTCCAGCGTTTCACAAATGAATTGGGTTACGCAGAATAGATTAGTCACTGCCCAGCTAGCACAAAAACATCCCATCTACGTTAATAAGCTGCAATTTTAGGCTCTTTAAGCTCGCATGCGATGTACTTTTAATGTAACCCTAATATCCATGCAACCTCCGAATGTCCGCAACGGCAAGACTTTTATATAGCACATCTCGTAGAAGTTATAAAATAAAGTTCGGAAAACATCACACTAGCACTTTTACGGTACTTACCCCGAAAGTTGCTCTGAAACTTTCTATAGATGTTATAATGTGAATTAGTTCTACAGCATTATACAGTGTGTCTACGGATGGACTTAACTATACTTGTGAAAATATTTATTTATGTTAAAGATATCGATATTTATAAGTATCGAACAAGTAAAAGATTTTTTTTTAAACGACTGACAACCCCCATTCAACAGGAAGGAGTGAGGATCTTAATTAAAAACAAGAATGCATCAGTAAAGTATATTCTGTAGTTGACACCTTTTCTTTCTCTACTGGTACTCTACCTGGTACAAGTTATAGTGTCAATAACTGGCAATTTACCTTATAATTAAATAACAAAAAAAAACAGTGGTAACGCTTAATCATATTACCAAGTTTCACCACATGCGAAAACTAAAATATTTCGGTACAAATATTTGAACAAACCTTCTTATTCCTGACCACACACATAACGATACGATCCCAGCTAGCACATAACGTTGCCAAGCCTTTCGGCGACGTTGCTTTAAGGGATCGTAATAACATTACT